AGGCCCGGGACGAAACGCATGGTGCTTCAACGCGCGCCGTAATTTAAACTAGTTAAGAACTTAATCCTCGGAGGTTGACGGATTAAAGTTAAACGCGTTTAAGGTTAAAACAGTCGACGGTGCATACCGTTTACGATTTTTAAACCGGTTTAAGGCTTAATCGCGATTAAAATTTATCGGTGCCTTAGGATCAAGCTGTAAGAGAAAATTCCAATTAGTAAATAAATTAATTTAAAAAATTACCTTGACGTTTTGATAACTATTTTCTGCTATCGTTATCAAAAGAACTTAAATGAACCTAAAAAAGAGAATGTTAATAAATTGTGTAACAATAGGAAGATAATAAAATATGACTTTCACTTAATGTCATTGTTTAAACCAATAGAGGTAATATTAATTAATAATTTTGGTGTAAATTGAATTTGGGTGTATGTTTCTCTGGTATACTTCAGATTTTAGCATAGGTAACCATGTATGACTTAAATTAAATGAACATGGAGCAACACAATTATTTTGATTTAGTAAAATAAATGCGCTTTATTTAATTTTACGTTTTTTTGTAAGTGGTTCTATTGCTTAAATTGTACAATTATTCCATTGAATTTTGTGGCAATTATCAAATGCATGTTGACAAATATGTGACCTACGATATTCTCTGTTTTTTATGTATGATTGGTGTTCTTTGATTCTTTTATGCAATGGTCTTGAGGTTTATCCTTTATAAAATTTATTTCATTCGTGAGGAATTTTATAAATTACATTTTTTGCATTTTCAATTTTGTCATGAGGTTTTGTTACTGAAATTTTGCTTCTAATTGTATTTTCCTAATTGTATTGTTTTGAAGATAGTCCTAATATTACATTTTTTACCTACTTTTTTTAGAATAGGTAATTTATGCAGTGTAATAGGAAATAATTTACTGTTTTTAGAATGCTAAATATTTCCAGAGGAATGACGGTAATTTTTCTGAATCGCCGTAAATGTGAAACGTATCCAACACATCTAATTATATGTTAAAAATTAAGTTTAATTCCTTGTTATAAAACATCATATAAAAATATCATATCAAAATAAAACAGCTGATTATGCACAACATTCAGTATATTTAATAGATAGAACACTTGCGACTAAGACTAACATATTAAAATGTATCATATAATAGTTATTAAAATTTTTACAATATGATGGTTAAAAAGTTGCTCCTTCACCTTAAATTAGATTTATAATTTGGGATAAGCGTATATACTAGGAATTGCTGGCACATAATCCGTGTTGTACATTTGAGCTCGAACAAATGCCTCTTTGTCCTTTGGTTCAGGAAACACAGAAGCATTGCCTGAAAGTAAAAAATATGAATAAGAACAAGTTTTATCAATTTACAGTATTTACATAACTCATGTAAAATTTTTGATACGTTTTTAAAATAAATATTCAAGCATGATTCGTTTCTGGTTTGTTTTAGTTGATTTATATGTTTATATAAAAGTATGCTTATTAAAAGCAATAAACGCAATTAAGTCTAAAAATATTTCAGAACTACCTTTGGCATAAGCGAATTCCAATAATTGTATGGCAATCTTCACAGAGCATTCTGTAACCCTGGATAATGATGGGTATATGCTTCCTTTATCAAGATCCTCTTCAGTAACCATGCTGGCCAAAGCCTCGGCCGCCATGAGAAAGTGTTCTTCCCCAATGTTTTTGATACCAGCACAAATTACTCCTAATCCTACCCCCGGGAATATGTAAGCATTGTTTCCTTGTCCAGGCTCATAAGTCTTTCCATTCAAAACAACTGGGGCGAAGGGACTGCCACTGGCAAATACACATCTTCCCTAAAATCAAACGCATGTTCTAATCCTTGAGTTTAACATGATATGTATTATTAAATGAAGATTTTTAGAACCGAAAAAATCGTTTTTCGCAGCTATGTGCAAGAAACCCTTTTACATAATACATTTTCCTAAAAGAAACATATTTAAAAAAATAAATTCAATACTGCTTCAACATTTTTTTGTCCGAGGAAGGGGTGACACGTTTACAATGGGAATGTTGAAGATATTGCAACAAGAGTAACCGTTGACGTCAAAAGTAGCTATCGGATCATCATTAAGAGTATCGTAACATATTATTCTTTATTCGTTTTTCCCATTTTGCTTAAGCCAATCTTTTTCATGTCACTACCAAAGCTAAAGTTCCATGCATCCGTTTATTTGTTAATCCGACAAATTTTGTACCCAGTCATCTCACGTGATTATCACGTCATATTGTTCTCACATTCGTGCATGCGTCCTTGTGGTTGAAAGTCGTGTTATTCGCGAATTCAAAAGTCCAACCGTGCACTGGCGGCTCATTGTACACGGCACTGAGTAACATTTGACAGTTTTTTTGTTCACATTTAGCAATGTGATTGTACTTGTAAGGTGATATCCGCATACAAAAAGATATTATGGATGAGGTCGAAAAGAAACAGTTGACATGTTGTTTGTACACAAAGATAGAATGGGACAACATAGATGGCCTTGAAATATACTATAGTGGACCACCGAAAAAAAACAAAGAGGGGAAGACCCAAAAGAAACTGGATGAATCAAGGAACTTAAACGAGGAAATAAGTTACCAAAAAAAGGATGGAAACTAGAGACGGAGAAACGACGACAGCCGCAGAAATCCGTACATTTATATAATATGTGTTTGTAATTTGTTTTGTGCAAATGACGCTTGTTTACCAAATGTCACTCGATAACGAGTATTTGATAACGTTTTGGAACGCTCCCATCGAGAGTCCAATTCGCCAATTCCTGACCAAAGTTTTGATAAAGTTTTGATTTTTAAACCAGTAACAATTGAAAATATTGTAACGGAAATGGCCTGGGGTACTCACGTTTGGAATGGGGGGATCGAAATTCATGGTATTTCAGTAAATGGGAGCCCCATTTGCGCCCCATTTAC